GACCTTGTAGAATAACAAGTATATAGAACTTGATTTTTTGTTCAAGTATTGATGTTATTGAACTACTTATATCATCAGTAACATTCCATGATGAATTGGTAATATTGAATTCCATAACGAAACTTTGATTCTATTAGCAGTTAGCTCAACTTTAATATAAAAAGCGTAATAAGTAAGTTAAAAAGTTGGAAAATAATCGCATGATTATGCTTTTTTTAGAAAAAGAAGCATTAGTTTTTTTTATGATAAGCAACGATCTTAATGTCTAACACATAAGTGCTAATGATGTATTATCTATTCAAATGTACTAATTGTATATTCAAAAAAAGCCTATGAAAGCGGCCCCATAATGGGCTAAAATGTGGAAATAATGAATAAATCAAAATTAAACCTATTTTTATAATCTATAGCCTCGCTGTGAACTATTGTCATTTAACGAATGTTTATATTTATAAAATCTATTCTATCAATTAATTTCACTCATTTAACATCATTATACTCAAAAAATGTTTTTCTGATGTTCCCCATGTCGTGAAAAATGTGATTATGCAACAAGAAAGGATTTTTCAAAAACCTAAGATAAATTATACTTAAATCATCGATTTTAATAATTAATTGCACATTGTAAGTTATTTTGAGAAATATTCGTAGATATGTAAAATTGAGAGTAAAACAGAATATCTACAAATTTTTTTATATATAATTATAGAGACTTGAAATTAAGAATTAGATTTAGCTTTGACATTGATGTCACTATTGTGACATTAAGGAGAAGAAATAATTTTAAAAAAAGCAATCAAACGTAACTTCACGGGCATATGCATTTGTTTCAAAAGATGTTTTTGATAATATACATAACTTCTAATACGTTTTTCAAATCAAGTAATTTTTTAGTTAGCATATTTCTATTGTAAATTCATTTTTAGATGAGTCATTTAATTCTAAATTAATATTAGGTTGAAAACTTTGCTTTGTTCTTTAAGATGATATCTTCTATAGAAATCTTTTTTTTTTAATTCTGCTTTTTCATTATTATTTCTGGATATTTAATTTATTAACGAAGACGATTCTATTACAGATGTAATAAAGGATATTAATCGATCACAAACATTGTCAGAGTTATCGAAAAATATCGGCAATTTGTCACGTTTTACCTAGAAATTATCGTTTCGGTATTCTGTACAACTTCTCCATTATTTTCTTCATGTATTTTTATCTGAATAATTTGAATTGAACGATATTTCAAGTGCAATGCAAAACTTAATTGTTTTTTCATTGAGATTTTGTCTAATGTTTTGATTCTGATTTATATTTTAAAATTGTTGATGTAGAGCTGAATGATATATTTTTATTTTTTATTAAATTTAAACTGTGATAAACCATTACCATTTTTTAGGATTATGAATTAATAGTATTTTTTCTTACAAAGTAAGCTCGTATTGAGATATCATTCTTTGCTTTACACGTACAGCAGTCGAATCATGTGCAAAATATATTTACTTGCAGTATATACGAAGCAAGTGGTAGGAAAGAGAAAAAGATCAAAAAAACATGTTCACATTAGAGGTTATAATAGCTTAAGGACTTGCAAACAAGTGTCTTTTTTCTCTCTTCAGAGTAAGAAGATGTTCACTTGGGACGAATGTTCATTAATAGAAGTTTTAATTTATTACAATTAATCACCAATCTTTTAACGATTTCAAGAACATGACCAGATATGTCTTTAATATATAACTTCTTTTGTATTCATGATAATATGTATGATATATATTATAAAAAATGGCAAATATTATTTTATTGTTCACTACATCGGTTCAACGATCATATTAGCCTACTATGCACCTTAATTTATTCGTTCATTTAGCCTCTGAATACACCAGTCTTTCTCTCGACGAATTACGACATATATTGCTGAGCTTTGTCTAAACTTATAGAATTCAATTAGTTCATAGTTTTCCATGTCTGTCCCAGCATGGATCCTAACAGGTATTCATTTGATTCCGCTTCATGATGAAGATGACCCTGAGAATGACTTATATCACGGGTACTTTTATTAGCAACAAAATATCGTGGACTATTATATTTGACGGTTCCATAAGATTATTCATTCTACTCTTATTCAACTTGTCAGCCATGTTTGTAATCAGACATGATAATGTAAAAATTTATAACTATCACCAAAAGCACAACAATTTAAAACCTGTTTGCTTTTTATCTTTACAAATATCAAGTTGATAGTCCCAATCAACATATACACGAGTGATGAGCTGGTGCACACATCGGACCTAAACAGAAAATAAACAATCAAGTAAAATGTAATCACATGAAAATATAAATAAATTGATCTAACCTTTATTTCAAACAAGATCACTACTTGCATTTTCTTGTGCAGCATTTTTTTCATAAACTTGTTGATAATTATTAATATCATAATAAATATTATTATTATTATCTGCTTTCTGTTTCAATTCTTTATTAATTTGTTTTGGACGTTCAAAAATAGTTATTTGATCATGTTGCTTATTAATATCAATATCCATTGTAGCTGTTGCAATGTGTATGTTTTGAACCTTATGCTTGTCGATCAGATTTAAACACAACATCAAGAAAATTTTCTTTCGTAGTTGAATCATTTGTATCATTATTATTATTATTCTCATCACCATTTTCAATATTTTGTTCATGACATTACACTCATTATCTGAATAAAGCCGAAAAGTTAAAATAAAAGAAATCGTATGAACATCCTTGTTTTTGTTCGATTTTCAAAAAGAAAATATCAATTTTTTCTACTCATATCAAACTTTTGTCCTTAATGTCTCATTTCTCGCTCATATAAAGTTCAAAATCATATATATATAAAGTAAATCGATAAAAAAAAGCTTTTGTTTTCTGAATACTTATTAATAGAGTAGTATTACAATCAACAACAGAGGAAAAAAACAACAAAGAGTATGTGCTAAAAAATCTACAATAGAGCAAAAACGAAAAGAAAAAAGCACATAAAAACAAAAGTGAACGAGATGTACATCGATTGTATATAAAGACTGTCCCATAATCAATGGTTGGCTTTATGTGTTCCTCTTTTTAGCATCTAATACGTTTATTTTTTAAAAACAACTTTTGCCATAAGCTGCAGTATGAAAAGCTCTACAAGTTGCATTAAAAGTCTATTTATATATATATATCCTTTGGTTTCAAAATGAATGAAATTCTGTACACTTAATTTTCGATGATGCGAAGCAGATAATTTTTTTTGTTATTTCTTCGATTACAGAATTATGTGAAAGACTATTATTAGAGACCGGCTTCAGACCAATCGACACATATTTCAAACTATCTTTTTCTGCTCACTCTGATGTTATTTGTAGGAGCA